TGGGAGCCGCCCTCCAGCCCCCAGCTGCCCTCACGGGGCCGTTTGTCCCCTCTTGCAGAGGCAACGGSATCGACTACATGGAGTTCCGCCTGTGGATCGGGCTGCACTCGGCCCTGCAGTGCCTTATCCTGGTGGCCACCGACGCCAGCTTCATTATAAAGTACATCACGCGCTTCACCGAGGAGGGCTTCTCCACCCTCATCAGCTTCATCTTCATCTATGATGCCATCAAGAAGATGATCGGGGCCTTCAAGTACTACCCCATCAACTCCGACTTCAAGCCCGACTACGTGACCATGTACAAGTGCGAGTGCGTCGCCCCCGACCCAGGTGAGTTCACCCCGGGGCCGGCCGGGCTGGGGCCGGGGGTGGGAGGGTCCGGCGAGGGTGAATCCTGCTGGCCRAGGATGAGGGAGGAGGCAGCTGCTGGGGTGGAGAGACCTCGTCCCCGTCCTCGTCCTCCTCCGAGGGGCTTTTGGAGATGAAGGAAGAGTCTCGACCCACTTGGATGAAGGACTCGGCGCTTCCTGGGACTGGAAAACCGGGATCTCGGCCTGGAGCAGCCAGACCTGGATGGACGCGAGGAAATGTGGAAACAAAAAGACGTTTTAGATGGTTCATCCCAGYCTGCGCTGGTGGAAACATTCCCCAGAAAAATCCTGCAGTGGGTTTGTGCTCTCCGGTGTCTGGGACATCCCCAGGGTGCCCCAGCTGGGTGTGAACATCCATGGACAGCTTTTCCTCCTCTATTTGCACTCCTTTCCCAAACGGAGAGGCCATCGGGCCCTGAGCCGGCGGCCCTTCCGTGGTTCCCTGGTTCTGCTCTCGGACAGTCCCGCGTGATCCCGGATCTGAACCGTGGAGCTCGGGCACTCCCAGGGTGGCTTTGGGCTCACGGCAGCGACCGYCCGCTCTCCCAGGAGCTGAATTCATGAAAAAGGAGAAATTCTGGGGAGTGCCAGCTGCAGCCAGAGAAGGCTGTGGAGGATGAAGGTGATGGGGGATGAAAATGATGGTGGATGAAGATGTTGGTGGATTAAGATCATGGTGGATGAAGATCATGGTGGATGAAGACCATGGTGGATAAAGATCATGGTGGATGAAGGTGATGGTAGATGAAGATCATGGTGGATGAAAACCATGGTGGAGGGTGACAGTGGATGAAGGTGATGGCGGATGAAGATGACAGTGCATGAAAAGGTCATGGTGGATGAAGGTGACAGTGGATGAAGGTGACAGTGAATGAAGATCATGGTGGATGAAGACCATGGTGGAGGGTGACAGTGGATGGAGGTGATGGTGGATAAAGATTTTGGTGGGTGAAGGTGAACAGCGGATGGAGGTGACAGCAGATGCAGGTGATGGGAGATGAAGGTCATGGTGGATGGAGGTGATGGTGGGTGAAGATGACAGTGGATGGAGGTGATGGGATAAAGATCATGGTGGATGAAGATGACGGTGGATGAAGATGATGGTGGATGGAGGTGATGGCAGATGAAGATCTTGCTGGGTGAAGATGACAGTGGAAGAAGGTGATGGTGGATGAAGATCATGGTGGATGAAGGTGACMCTGGACAATGGTGAAGGTGACCCTGGACACAGGTGACGGTGAAGTTGTCCCCATCTCCCTCCTCCCAGAAGAACATCCAAGATCTTCCCCCCAACCCCTTCCCAATGCATCAGCCATTCCAAGGAGAGCTCTCACCCGATGGCACTCACAGCCCTTGGGTTGATTTTCCCATTTTTGATCGATTCCCACTCATCCACCCCTCATTCCCCCACCGGGATCCGGGAGCCCAGAGCCGACTCTGCTCTTCCCAAGCTGAGCCCCCCAACCCCAACCTGTGGGAGAGTCAAGACAGAACCCTCAGAGCCGGAATTCCTGAACGGAACCGCGACCTCTCACCAGGATCCCAAACTGGGGCTCTACCGCAGTCGGAGCCTTCAGCCTCCAGCGAGCTCTCCCCCTTTTCCGAGCCCCCATCCCRAGCAAACCCCAAACAACCGAGAGGCATCCGCACCCCAATCCCCATTCCGGTTCCTTGCCCTGGCTGCCCAGGCAGTGACATCCATGCTGGATTTAACACCCCTCTAGAAATTACATTTATTCCCCCCTCGGTCCTTATTTTTTTAAAAAAAATCCCTTTTTTTAAATCCGTGCTGATTTTTGATTATTATAACTGATTTGTCCCATATTTGTCTCTGCTGCACACATCAATTGGGGCTGATTTCAATCTCAAGTGAGTATCGCCTTCTAAATATTAAAACTATTTTAATATTTGATACTCTTCCCCCACAGGGGGGTTTTGGTTGTTTTTTGGGTTTTTTTTCAGTGTATTTGACTTTCTTCTCTCTCTCTAAAAGGGTTTGTGTCGAGCCCTTAGGGCTCCTCCCTTAAATCCCACCAGAGCCGTGCTGCCCTTTAGGGTGCAAAAATCCCTAATTCGGGCCGGTTGGTGGAAAAAGGAAAGGCTGTGGAGGCAAAAATAAGAGCAATGATGGTGTTTTTAGGGCCGGGTTTGTGTCCCAGAGCTCGGTGCCGGCAGCCCCGGGGTCTCGGCCCTAAACCCAGCGATCGCTTCTCCTTCATCAATCCCCGGCGCCGGGGACGGAGGCGGYGGCCGAAAWTCCCGCTTGGCGAAGAGGATGGAAGAGGGCGGGGGGCGAAGTGGCCCCCAGAATTCCCGGAATTCCCGGATTCCCTCTTTTTGGGGCACCCCGAGAGAATCCGGGGGTGCTCCCGGAGCTGCGGAGCTGCGTCGCCCGAAGAGCYGAGCGGAGCCGCCTTTGGCGCTTGGAGGAGAAGGTGCCGGGGGCTCGAAAAGACGGAATTTTCCACCGGTGACACCAAAACAACCCCAAAATATTTTTTTTTTAATCAATAATAATTTATAAAGAGCCAATTGGGCGTGATTGGGCACCACCTGTCAAAAAAAACCCACCCAGGCTGTTCTCCCAGCCTTCCACCCGTGTGGTTCAAAGTCCACCCCACTCCCGGCGGCTTCCCTGGGAGTTTCTCAAAATTTTAGGAACTGGGAAACTCCTAAAAAATCCGCCCCCGCCCCAACCCCGGCGGGAGGAGCCGCTGTGTCCTCCCCGGCGCGTGGGATTGATCAGGGACAAGTCGTGAAAAGTTGGGGTTTTCTCCCCAAAATCTGCCGATCCCTCGGGATGCCGGGCTCGGCCGGGACTCCCAGTGCCCGAAAAGCTCGGGTTTCACCCCAAAACCTCAATAACCGACTCCTTTCCCGCAGCCAACGCGACCTTGTTCGATGCTTCAGCTCCAGTGGCACCGAACACCACTAACGTTTCTCTGGTAAGCGGGGTCCACTCCCAATTTGGGGTTGGGGTAGGCGGGACCGAGGTGTTTTGGGATCCAAGGGGTGGGATGGGGCAGCTCGGAGCGAGGGAAACCCAAATTTGTGCCGGTTTGGGGCTCAGCAGTGCCAAATCCACGCTTTTCACCCCAAATTCACTCCAGCTCTGCGGGTTTGGGTGTCCCAAAAAATGGAAATGCCCCTTTCCTTGTGGGCTGAGATGGATTAAAGTGTTCCTTTTGGGGGGTTTAACAGGGAAAGTTCCCTTTCTTAGCAAGTTGCAGGGGCTAAAAACACTGATTTCACCCGATTTGGTTGTGAAATGCCCATTTCCCTGCAAAGTGCAATTCCTAAAGTACAAATTTTGGGGTTTGGACAGGAAATTTCTCTTTCCCTGCACAATGAAATCCCTTAAAGCACAAATTTTGGGGTTTGGATGGGAAATTTCTCTTTTCTTGCACAATTCAATCCTGAGAGCACAAATCTGTGGTTTGGGCAGAAAATCCCCCTTTTATTACAGAATCCAACCCCTTAAAATACAAATTTTGGGGGTTTGGACAGGAAATTTCCCTTTCCTTGCACAATTCAATACTTGAAGTTACAAATCTGTGGTTTGCACAAAAAATCTCCCTTTCTTTGCACAATGCAACCCCTTAAAATACAAATTTTGGGGTTTGCACAGGAAATTTCCATTTCCTCCCATGCTGCAATTTAAAAATGCCGATTTTTCTCCATT